AGCCCTACTGCCGGCAGCTGCAGTCCAACCCCCCGCCAGCTGTGCCTCATTGCACGATCTGCGGGGCGGGCTGCTGCCAGAACGGGCTGAGCACAGTGGGGCTGAGCTTTGGGCTGCCTGGCATCGCTGCCGAGGGCAGGGACTGCCCTCCCCGTGGAAGCCAAAGGATTACTGGGGCACGGACAGCCCTTGCTGATGCTGAGACGCGGCGGCCTGTGGTCACAGCCATAATTAACAGTGCTGTGGGCCCCCCTGCCGCATGACATTTGCTCCTTGCTGCCATTAACGGGCAGTCAGGGGGGAGTCAGAGCCTTATTTCTGCACCACAGGGCCCACGCAGCAGGGCGCGTCTCATTACTGCCCTTGCCTGCATGCGATGCCCAGGAACGCCAGTTTTATGTCAAGCCCTCTGTTCCGCCTTTCTCTCTTCAAATTTGGGTCTCAGCTTTGTCTCAAGGTCCTCCAAGTCCAGCGGCTGCCATAAAAGTCTGAGCGGCCAGAAAGAAACCCCAGGAAAAGGCCGCCCCAGGCAGGGCGGGTCCCGCCAGAGCTGCGCGAAGGGCAGCGCCGCGGCAGCAAGCACAGGGCGGGGAGGCTGTGGTGAGGTCGGCTGGGCTGGGAGAGGCAACTCCCGGCACGCTGCAGGTGAGACGTGTGCCGCCAGGCCCACAGCCTCCTGCACCGGGGGAGGAACTCGATGAGGTTTGATTATCGCTAATTGTAGGTGTTGCAGGTCCCTGCAAAACTCAGTCAGGCTGACCGCCTGACGGTTTCCCACCTGATGGCTGATACCCTGACGCCAAAGCTTGCTTATGTAGCAACACTTGTTCCTGTGGGATGTTCCCTTCGCTGTGATTATGTGCTGTCAAACGTAAAACATTGCAAGTCTGCAATAAAAACATTGAGTCTCCATCTAACGCAGCCTGGCTGGGCTGGGGCACCCCGTGTGCGGCCCCCGTTCGTGGTGGTGGGTGCTCGGACCACAGGCCAAGCCCTACGCGCAGCCCTGCAGAGGGGCACCCCCGGCCCTCGCCATCGCTGCCGGCTCCCCGCTGCCACAGCTGGCCGCCCCCAGCGAGGGCGGTGCGGGACTCGGGTGCTGGCTCAGCAGGCGTGAGGAGCACCCAGAGCCGAGGGCTGCGCCCGGACACGGAGAGCTGAGGGCTGGGTCACGCTGGCAGCAGGACTCGCCCAGCTAAAGCAAAACCCACGCGTGAAATGAGAGGTGCGGTGAGGGGTGCGGGGGAGCAGCAGCTCAGTGAACGTGCCCATGCGAAAGCTGGCTGGGGCACGGCACCGCAGGGGAAGAGCAGTGTCGTGTGTGCACAAACGCGCTGTGCTTAAACGCCTTCAAGTGTTAGACACCAAAGCCCGGATTCTGCGGTGCCTCACACACGCAAAGTTTACTGGAGCAGGTATCCTATGGAAGCCTGCTGCCAGTCAGGCTCAGATTTGCACATTGCATAATAAGATTAATTAGATATGGTGATTGCAGTTCATTTGCCTCGTGCCCCAGCTTCTGAGTACTCTCTTCCTGAAGTCAAGAAGACTGCTCGTGTGAATACATTTAACCATATGTGAAAGTCCCTGCAGGATCAGGAATCCCGAGCAACCCGGGGACCAGCTCAAAACCCCGAGCACAATGTTTCTTTAACCTGTTCCACAGGAATCTTGCCTTTCCAAGCATTTTTTTTAATACCTAAGACACGTTTGCTTTCGAGAGGTTTGGGAGGCATTGCATCTGAGCATAAATCTGTTGGAAATCTGGGGCTCTTGGCCAGTTAAGACGAAGACGCTGCTGCTGTGGCCATTTGGCAGAAATGCTGCATTTTTCAAGCATGACGAGGATTCACAATTGGATTGGACAATATAGACCTCTAATATTTCTACTTGCTCTCCGTGTCTTCCAGCACTCCCCTCCCACCCCAACGCACCGACCCCCCATATTCCAGCCCAGCCCCAAAACTGCTGTGCAGCTGCCTCGTCGGTCGGAGCCGGGCAGATCCGGGGGTGAGACCCGCAACGGGACGCAGGCAGCCCAGCTGGACGCCTGAACCCGGAGCGTGCTTCCAGCTCTCCCGCCATTTCTCAGCCCCTCTGGAAACACGGCCACTACCTTTTCTCTGTGTTAACTTGACCGACAAGAAAATCCCCATCCATTTATCAATGCTCTTTCCGTCCGGGAGAGCTCAGCTCGGGCCAATGCTTTGCGGCGGTGCTGTCGCAGCGCGCCAGTGCTTCGAGCTCGGCCGATGCTCCCGCCTGGCGCCTGCAGCCCAGGAGCTCCCGGCGAGCCCGGGGCACAGCCCTGGGGACCAGGGGTCGCAAGTTCATATGATTAAACCTCTCCCTCCATCACATTACGGGGCAGGGAACCAGAAGACAGGGTTTATTTAGAATTTTCCTCAAGTGGAAACCAGAAGAAGTGACCCATTATTACCGGAGCTTTTTCAAGCCACCCAGGAAGAAAAGTGGTATTTAGTTGTCGTTAAAGGCTCATAACTGCATAACAATTTCATGCTATGTTAACTTCTAGGTTTTCTTTCGCATATAAATTTTTAAGGAGTAAAATAGAAAAACCCAGGCACTTGACCTTTAATCACAGTTATTTGTGTGATCAGTCAAGTGTGGGAAAAAGCTAGTTTGTGCTTGAAAGATGCCCTTTAAAACTAGATTGCTCTAATATGACACACAACTCACATGGTGTAATATATGGGATCTCTCCTACCAGCCTCCGGGGCACAACAGCCTCCCATTTAGTATTCATGCGCAGGAGCTTGCTGCTGGTACATTGGAAGGTATTAATGTCATGAAGCAAATCGATACAGCCCCCCGGGATAGCTCCATTCACCACCGAGACCCACGGGAGGTGTACGCAGTCGTGTCATTGAAAAACCAAGCAGGGAAGAGTATTTTCAGCGTATACGGAGGATTCGATGTTAGAGATATGTTTCACTAGAAGAAGGGTATGTCACGCTAATAGAGTACGAAGCTTTTCCATTTATCTGAAATATTATTCCAAGCACTTATAAAAGCTTAATATTAGGACAGCCAGAGGTATTTTAATTACAATTTTGAAGTATCACGTTGTTTTGGGGAAATGATCTCATGAATTTTTCTTTGGCGGGACTGGATGACTAAAAGCCATTGCTGGGATGAAGGAAACAGAGCAGCCTTTTAAATTGAGACTATTGGATTTATTCCTTATCAGGCCCAGCTGCTGGCCAGGGACGGGCCTCTGAGCCCCAAGAGGGGCTGTGGCACAGCCAAGCCAGCGCCAAGGTCATGGTCCCACGAGGTCAGCAAGCGGGGCAGAGGGATGCCGTCCCCGGGACCAGCCACCTCCTCCAGCACCAGCGGCGTAACGAGGGGCCGGTTTCCGTAAGCGAAGGAAGAGGAATACTGCCGGGTCGTCTGGTCACCTCTGCCACCGCCATCCAGCAGGCGGGCAGGTTCCTGTACCCGGCTCCTGAGTGCTACCACAGCCCCAGGATGAGCCTGGAGAGACGAGAGTGAAAAAACAAAGACGCCTGGTTATCAAGGCTCCAGATTGCCAGGGGAACTTCTGCAGAGAGCTGGGACCAGCACGGCCCAGAAAATGTGTAATTCGCCGAGCTGAGCTATTACCTGCTGTAAGTGGAGACAGAAAGATAGTTTTGAAACCACGGTGAAAATAACCCTCCTGGAAAAAAAAAATCAATACAAACACCAAGGAAAGAGGATCAGAATCCGAGACCATCAATTCCTGAGATAAAGAGTTGAAAGTCTCAGTGGGAGGACAGCCAGATCTGGAGTGAAAAACAAAACTTTGTTTCTTTTGCTGACAAATGACTTTTTATGCGAAAGGACAAAGGAGGCAGGAGGACGCGGGCCTCAGTATGTGGCTATAAGAGCTGCCCTTGAAGAAAGAAGGAGCAGGCAGAAACCTCACGGAAGCTTTTGCACCTCTCCTTCCTCTTCCACGCTTGAAAGGATTTTCTTACAATGGAAAACATGGGATTTGTGCAATTTCGTGATGTTTTGGGCATGTCACAAAAAGATGCTCCAGGATGAGTTCTGCTCCTTCTGCTGTGACGGTGCCGGAGTCAGAGCAGAGCAGGCAGCAGCAATACAGCACAAATGTGTCTGGCAGTAAGTAAATAGCCCACCCGGGAAAGCGGCAGAGTTAGTGCGGCTCCAACGATCCGCACCGGGTACCACCGGCGCCTCGCCAGCCCGCCGCCGCCGGCTGATCCCGGGGCTCAGACACCGCTTCCCAGGAGGACCACGCTCCGTCGCAGCCAGTGCCTTCACAGCCTGCTGCCGACAGCGCCGTCTCATCCCCGCACCATCTCCTCGCCGCTAACTGGTAGAAATCACAGTGAAAATAAAAGTTAATGTAAAGCTTCCCCATAAATCTCGTGATCAAAGCTGCACAGCCCTGCATCGTGGGCTGCAAAAGGAAAATACTCCGTGTATTAACTCCTTTTACGTTGTTTGTCTGAAAATAAAAGCAACCAGAGCTATGCATTTGTTTTTAATGGCTTAATTTTTCTGTCAGATGTGTACTCTTTGCTTCGGGATCTCTGTACTATAAATGTTTTGCAGCAGCTCTTTAGCTTTTAAGGTAATCACATAAAAGATCCTTGACTACATAAAGGCAGCTAATCCGGGGAAATGCCTTTAAGCATCTTTACATTTCTTGCTAATGGATTTCTAGGCAGCTCACAGAGATCCACGCTCTAGAAAATAATGTAAAATATAGTAAGTGTCTAATTTTTTTTAATGCCTCACATTTGTCATATACTGAGAAAATCCAGAGCTCCAGGCAGCGTAAGATCATTATACTTATATAAGTAATGCTCCGTTCTGTCATCATCAATATGAAACCCAGCCGAAAGGAGCAAGGATCCATTCAGTGTTAAATTCCAACTCAACTGGAGACAAATTATCACACGCTATTAATTAGAACCAGACAGGAGGGGATCCAGGCGCTGCAATCTGGTGACAGAATCTGAAGAGCAAGCCAAGGCTCAGGAGTCATGCGTGGAAAACGTTACCCTCTCCCCACCTCGAATCGCGCTCTGGGAGCGGCAGGAGGGCAGAGGGTGACGCCGTGCCGTGCTTTCTGCCGCACGGAGCCAAGCAGCTGGCAAAGGTGAGAGGTGAGTGCAAACCACTGTGCCGAAGCGGGTCTCCCCTAGCACCCTGTGCCCTTCCCGCCCCTCTGCCCGCTCCCCTCGGAGCGAGGGGCAGGACCATCCACGCACAGCAGCTACGGGGGTCCAGGGCTCGCTACGCATCGCCTGCAGCACAGCAGAGCCACCGGGACCCAATGCGGGCAAGTTAACGCTCTGTCTCACCTCTTCTGGCACCGAGGGGTTACGAGGGGCCCTGGCCCAGGCGATGCCGTGCCCGCTCAGCAGTGCTGCCAGGACCCAGCCGTCCTAGGGTGCCCCAGCCCAGGCTGGGCGCAAATCCTCGTGCTGCCTCCAGTTCCAGTCACAAAACCCCTGTGAGGGAAAAAGCACCTATTTTAAGAGCTATCTGCTGTCATTATCCCTGTGGAGGAGGAACCAATGGATGTACAAGTGCAGACGGGCCACCTAATTCTGCAGATTTATTACACGCGTTAATTAGACTCCCTGTGCTGTTCCCAGGGGACTCGGACCCGCCACCATGCAGCTCAGTGTTGGTGGCACGTGGGGATGGGGTGCATGGCAGAGCTGTAGCCAGTGCCAAGAGCACGAGGCCAGCGAAGCTCCCAGCTGCTGGGCGAAGGCAAGCCCAGCACCCTCGGGCTCTCCTTCGGCGGCATCCAGGGCAGCCACAGCCCCTGCAGCTCCCGGGGGCCTGCCCGGGCTCCCCCAACTCCTCCTGAGCCGTCAGCGGGCTCGGCACGGGGGGCCAGGCAGAAACCCACCCGCAGCGGGGGGCTGGCCGGGCAAGGGCCCTGGGCAGGTAATTAGTACCAGAAAGGAGATTTCAAAGGATTACAAATAAACAAAGGGAATCAATTATCTGATAGGAGCTTTTCGTCAGTCACACAATGGCGTATAAATTACGGAGGCCGGAGAGCTGATGGAGCCCAGGCTGTAACAGAGCCAGATAAATCCGATCCCATCCCAGCCCGCAGTGGCACTCAGAGCCTCACGCGGGGCCAACGCAGGGCTGGAACGCACAGAGGAGAAATAATTACTTTTTACTTTTCCCAGGAGAAAACGATGGTTTGCATTTGCTCAGATCTGCCCCAGCATGGGGAGGGTTTGGTTCATTTTGCTCCTCGCTGAGTAAGCTGGTGCTTCTGGCTCTGCTCTCAAAGGTCACTCCAGCCCAAGCCTTGCTCGGCCAGCACGCAGAAAAGGCGGCGTGAAGGTGCAGAGACCCCGCATCACCTGCTAACGGCGGACTCGTGGGAAAACTGCAACAAACCCATCCCGGCGGCCAGGTAGCTCCGGCATTTCTCACGGAGCAGTGGTTTGCTGGTCGCAAGGAGAGGGGCAGGGGAGCTCCTCTCCCAGCCGGTCGTGGTGCCCGGCATGGCCAGCAGCCCGCTACGCCAGACGAACCCTGTCCTCCCTCGCCCACAGCACCGCTCCTCCCCAAACGCCCCGAGCACGTGGCAGCCGGGGGACCGGCACATCCCCTCAGGGTCGTGGCAGTCACCACTGACCGGCCACCGACCGGCCACCGACCACGGCTCTGACACTCACCTGGGCGGCACTGATCAAGAGGAAACCATTTGGTGCCAATAGAAAAGTAATTTAGAGCTCCAGAGGAATCCAGCCGTAATTTAGTGCTAATTAATGTCCAATTACTTAAAGTAAACATATTGAATTTGGGACTGTGTCCTGCCCCACCCATTCAGTCACTCCTGAGCAGCAGGATCAGACATACCAACCTCCTGCACTCCCACAGCTGATGAGTGCTGACGCCATCCCATCCCCAGCCGGACCCCGGAGCCTCCTGGAGCCACTCTACCCTTTACTGCTGGCAGCAAGCGCAGACCTTCCCGATGGAGGTATGCATGGCACAGTCATAACCGGGCTGGGGGGGGATCCCGACCAGAGAGACGCCCCAGCTCCCCCAGGGAGGCAGGTCCTGCCCTGCAGAGATGCTTTGCTGGTGGTGCTGAATACAGGGCAGGATGCCGGCACCCCCGTCTTTGCACAGACGGGCTTCTTCACACCCAAACTGCTGCTGCTTCTCCTACTCTGGTTGAAAGACAGAGTTGCAGACTGAGAGCTCAGGTGTCTGAGCCTCTGAGAGCCGAGGTCTGTGATAGAAATGATGATATACCTCAAGTATAATGGTGCAAACAACCATTATCATAATTTTGATACCAATTACGTGTAATTTGAACAAAGGAGTTGTCCTAGCTTTGATTTGCTCTCCTTGTATTCCTGGCTGGTTTCATTAAAATCACTTATAGAGATTTGCAGCAGTTCTGTTTGAAGTGCTGTCATTAGGATTTTCATTTTCAGTGGCGTCGGAAATAATTTCACAGCAGGCTCTTTATGTTTTACAAAGCGATATGCAGCGTGTGGCCATCACTTGTGGTCAGACGCGTTTCAGACAGACTGGTCCTGCTGGTCGTACGGCCGCACAGGCGAGCGTCCGGCCTCGAAAGCCAGGGAAGGACGCTCCAGAGTGGCTACGGCCAGGCCGCGGCCCCTGCGCCGAGCTCTCATCGCAGCCCGTGATCTTCCCGGAGTTCCCTCGACTGCTCCAAGCAGCACTGCGCTGAATTTGCAACCCAAACCTTTGTAAATTTGAAGACTAAGTAAGTGCCAGGCTGGGTCACGCTGCTCCCGAGGGGACCCACGGCTCTGTGCGTGCATCCCCGCACACCCCTGAGGGGAGACCCCAAAATGCCAGCGCCCCTCGGGTGTGGATTTCCCTGTTTCACAGTGTTTCCCCTATTTATTAAGAGCTTTTTTACGTTTAAGTCTTTGCGCTGATCAGCATTTAAAATCAATTAGCAAGATTTCTAACTTTATTGGCCCCTCAATAAAGTGGCAGTAAACGTCCCTTAACAACAAGGGCACTGCAGTTACAGCACCGAGCTACAGTGGCTTTCCTTGGGGTGAACGCTGCTCTGGCTCCTATGCATTAGGCAATCAAAGATGCAAGTTGCATGACACACTGATGAAGAAAGACACTTTGGGACTTGCTCCATAACTCAATCACCACAAGGCACTCACCAATTATCCCTTAGTCACGGGGTGAGGGTGACAGGGAGGTCATGCAGAGCGAGTCTTTTTCATTTGTCCATGATAAAAGAGGGTAATATACTTTGCAAATGATAATTAGCAATTTACTCCAGCTGGGGCTAATTCCTAGATGCATTTTGCACTCCAGGACTCAGCACTTGGGCAGACTCTAAATAAGGCACCAGCTCGGTGTGTCCAGCTCCATTAAAGCTCTCCGGTAATTACGGAGTGCTCGCTGCGCAGTGGAGAGCTGGACGGCTTCCCGTGCCCGCGGGTGCCTCTGCTCTGCCTGCCACCGTGCCGGGGCTGGATGCAGCCCCCCGGAGAGGGGGGCCGCTGGCCACGCTTGCCCCCAGGAAGCCTGCCACGGGGGGCCTGCCGGCCCCCTCCCCCTGGTCGGGG